CCCCACATACTTTTCCAGCCTCTTCTGATGAGTCTCAGTGGGCAAGTTTGACTGTTGGGTCCTCAGCCACTAGGCTGGATATCTCTAAGACTGTCTAGCTGTGGGTTGGGATAGGATTAGATCCTTCCTGGATGTCTGAGCTGTACAGTGCTAGGCTGAGGCCCCATGGGGTGGGGCTCCCTCAGGTCTGGCCAGAGGTAGTGGTGGATATTTGATTCATTCAGAGCTGGCATCAAGATATTGTTGGTAGAAAGGATACAGGATGTACCCGCTGGGGAATGGCTGGCAGAAATGAGGCAGGGGTTCCCTGTACCATACATGTAGGACTTGGTACTAGTAGAAATAGTCTGGTAGACTGTGTCAAACACACAGGGATTGGCAGGACTGCCTTGATAGTTATGTAAGAACATGGAACTTGACCAAACAAGTTTTATATCCACAGCAAGACTAGTAAGAACTTGTGTCCGAACTGAACTTTTCCCAGAACATTTGGCCAAGGCAGAACTAGGTTTAGAYCTCAAAGTCTGCCTCTTACTGCCTGTTGTGGGAACCACTTTGCTATGCTGTCACCAGCCTGGTGGCTTGTCTTGCTCTTTAGTCTTACCATGATTGAGTTGGCAGGTGGAGACTGGAATCAAAGTTCCCATTTTTTGGTGGGGGGTTGGGATACTGGGTATTCTATCACTGAGCTATGTTCTCAACCCTTTCTTTAGATTTTGTTTTGAGACAAAGTCTCGCTAAGTTGCCCATGCTGGTCTTGAACTTATCAGCCTCCCAAGAGGCTGGAGTTACAGGCATGCACCACCATGTCTGGTTTTTCCCCATTTAAAAAAAATGTCAGACTATTATGGGAGTGAAATAAGTATGAGATTCTATAGAATTATTCTTAATTTTAAAGAAATGGCATATTTAATAGTGCATTTAGAACTATACTTGGAGATGATCATACCCAGCAACACTCAACTCCTCTAATCCTTTTTTCATCTGATTTCTACCATGCATGGGTTGGTATGGGTGGGAGGTGATATGCAGTATTTATGTTAAGTTTCAAAGCAGAATGAAGACTGCTGACAGCATCCCCAGTTTCTATTTGGAATATACGCCTACATGTTTTTAAACTTTTTTAGAAATTGCTCTTCCTTTAGCTTCTCAGCCTGCTTGTTATCAAAACATGCTGGGTGGTGTTTGTAAATATCTGAGTTTCAGATGGGCCTTAAAAAAGCATCTTTCCAGCCTCCCTTCTAAGTCTTCATTTCCTTCCTGCCACATTTCCCATCTCTCCCTCCCTCCTTTTCTGGGAACCTGGCTTTTGGCATGGAGTCACAGGCCTCTGTGGCTAGCTATGCCCTTCTCTCAGAGGCAACCCCTGGGCTGTAGAGGTTAGTTAGACATTGTGATCTTGTGGTTTCTTTGGTTGTCTTAACCCCCAGTTGGGTAAAGCAGGAAATCACTAGTTCACTTAAGAAGTCATTGTGAGTGAACTCTGAGGATTCTCCTAGGTGCCAGGCACTGTGCTGGACACAGGAACATAGAGGGCTGACCCATTCTCTCTCTAAGGCATTTACAACTTAGATCCATGATCATGGCACCTGAATTTCTTAGTCTGATCTTTCAATAGATGTTTGGCAGTGACCTGGGATCCTTTTATCATTGCCAGCCCAGGAATCTAAGGAAGAATAAATACTTTGGTATGGACAGAAGTTTGTTTGGTGAAGGCAGGGGCTTGGAAGGCTTGGTCTTTGACACTCTGGCCACTTTGGAGGCCTTCACATCATCCACATGAAGGCAGTGGAACCCACTGATTCTAAGAAACATTTATTTCTAGCTTTGGGGAAGGGAGGGTTCTGGGGCACGAGAAACTGGTGGAGATGGGCATATGGGACCCTGTGAACTGTCCAGATACATATTTGCTGTGCTTTATCCTTAATTTGCATAAGAGTGCACCTTATATACTGTTGCACCAGTCTGTGTTAAAGATCATGGATTCCATTTCCTAGGTTTTTATATGTGTTTTACTACTTTATCTTCTTTTTTTTTTTTTCCCTTTGCAGCTTAGTTTTGATTTGGCAGGGATCTATAGGAAGAGGATATCTGAGGTTTTTCATTTGACCATCTAAGTTTTGTTCTTTGCTGTGTCTTCGGTTCCTRGAACAGGTTTCTTTTTTCTCATTGGCTGAATGGATGCACTGCTTCACCCTTTCCTGCCAGATACACCTCCCCATAGGCTCTTCTGACTCCAACTCACACAATTTGGCACCCAGCTCTTGGGGGTGGGGGTGGGGGTGGGATTCTCAAACCTCTGAATTTCAGAGGTCAGGCTTTACTGTGTTGGTGCTGCTGACCTGGAGTAGGACCAGAACCAGTTGTCCACTTGCAGACAAGGAAGTGTTATATTCAGAGGTAATTCAACTGTTTTTTTTTAAATTATTTATGTAGATATAGTTTTAATTATTGATGAACCTTTTTTTTATTAATTTGTTTATATGTGGTGCTGAGAGTTGAACCTAGTGCCTCACACATGCCAGGCAAGCCCTCTACCACTGAGCCACAACCCCAGCCCAATTCAATTGTTTTTATTGGGGAACTTGACTAAGGGATTTCACTTGTGTAGTAAGACCTGGCAGGCAGAAGGGGCTCTTCACAACTTTTTTACTGTGAAATTCTAGTACTGAGTCATTGTGACTTGGAAATATAGGATGTCAGTCTCATGTTTGAGAACTTGCTTCTGGTTTTAGGTGCACAAAACCTGGATATCTGTAAGAATGTGGAATTCTTAAGGGCAAGGATTTTGGCTTCTTTTTGTGTTTTCAGAGCCTGGAACAATGSTTAGCATATAGAAGGTGCTACCTGCTTATCAGTTGACTAAGTAGCTGGGAGGGCAACATTTTATAAAGCATAGACTGCTGTGCTATTGGGGTCCTTGAGTACTTCCCTCGTGGGTTTTCTTAGCTTTGGACTCTATTTCCATCCACTCTATAGATCTTAAAAGGGCAGAGTTGAGAAGAGTTCTCAGAGCTTGCATTATTAGTCATCTTTCTGTCACTGTGACAAAATACCTGAGAAAATCAACTTAGAGGAGAAAGATTTATTTTGGCTTATGGTTTTATAGGTTTCAGGCTGTGGTCATCTGGCTCCTTTTTTTTCTGTGCTTGTGGTAAGGCAGCATATCATGGCAGAAGGGCACGTATGGTGGAGCAAGCTGCTCATCTCATGGCAGCAGGGAAGCAGAGTGAGTAAGGAAGGGTCTTTGGAGGAGATACACCCTTCCAGGTGACCTGCTTCCTCCAGCTAGGTCCTACCTCCTATACTTTCCACCACTTTCCAACAGTTCATTCAATTATGAATCCATCAGTGGATTAATCCTTTGATGAGATTAGAGCCTCATAAACCAATCACTTCCCAAAAGTACCACTGCTGAACATTGGTGCATTGGGAGCAGCAACCTTCAACACTTGAGCCTTTTGGGGATATTACGGATCCAAATAGTAAGAGAAGTCATTCAGTTTAACCCACCTGGTTTATATATGGGGAAACTGAGGCACAGAGAAGAGAGAGAGGATACAATGTTAATGAGAGGAATAACCAAGCTTTCCTATCTTGATCCTTCTAATTTTTTTATTGTACCACCACATTCACATTCCTATAAACATTACTGTCATCTCCCTGCTCAAAAATTATTGCCATCCATGATAAGGTCAACCTTGCCTGTTTGGCAAGGCTTCTTGGTTTGGTTTGGCTCTGATCTTTCTTTCTACCCTTAGTCATTCACCAAAGAAAACTTTATATTTCTGCATCTTTTTTCCAGGGATTTTCTTAACCAGTCAGCTAGGATTGGTTAAGAAACAGTAACTCCTCTCTACATTTACTCTTAGAAACCTTGGTTTGAAGCCTCCAAATGGCACTAATCATAGTGTACCCCAAAGGGTGGATATCCATATGAGTCTTATTTTCTTTCCTCAATCAGAGCTCTTTGGGGCTCAGCACRTACTCTTTTGGAATGTTAGAGTTGGGAAGGAGCTTGGAATTCATCTGGCCTAGTTTCTTATGTTATATGAGAAGATGGTAAATCCCACACAGGTAAACAGTAGTAGAACTATAATTTCAATTCACATCTGCAGA